CGAATTTCTTCATTTTGTGCTGTTCCATCTTTTTCATTTTTCTTTTCCTTCTTGCGCATTTTCGACTTTCAGTCTAGAGTAGCACTCAGTACAGCACTTTTACCTGATTTCTGACGGCTCTGACTTTAACTTCTCGTGAATTTGAGTGTCAAAAATTGTATGTTAGATTCTGAAGATCAAAATGGCCGAAACTGATATGTAAGCGAGCTGATACCTCACCAATGTTCCCAGGGGTATATTTCTTCCTTATGATATACACTTTATCAACAGATCAATTTTAAATGTCGTAGGACTGGTGATAATTATCAAAATACGGTAGGCTTTACAAATAAGTTTGTAGCACTTATACCATAAAACGATAAAAAGGTCAGTCATTTTGATTTTTATGTCATAATGTCGACTGTTGTACTGAAACAGGATGCTTCCCTAACAGCCGGTGCACACGGATGTATTTTGAGGGTGCGGTAACGCAACGTCGACGCTGCGTCGACGCAGACAGTGTTTTTCACAGAAGTTTACACGAGCCTACAATAACGCATGTAGTTCACTCGACGCGACGCAAGTAGCCAGATGGATTTTGTTCATGAACAATGTGTTTTATTTGCAGATTACGTATATAAGTATCATATTTCTAAAAAGAAAATACTGGGTACACCCTTATGTGAGTGCCCGTACATCAAAATTAATTTTCGGATCTGAGAAATGACGAGGAGAAGTTTTTCAATTATTTTAGAATAAGTTACAAATCGTTTGACGAATTACCTCTCCTCACCTCTTCAATGAATATTTCAGTGTCTTTATCAACGTCCGTCATTTTCAACGCATTGCTTTTCGTCGCTCGTATGCACTCAATGATATAATCTAATGTACCGCTTCGCCGTCGGAACGTCGAAACGTCGTTGCGGCGATGCAGTCACTGCACGTCGGGTTTTCAACGGTGCGTTACCGCCGAACGTTGGACGTCGACGTCCTGCCTGAATTGATCCATTTACGGCAATGTATTTCAGAGACGTGCGTATTTTAACGTTGCGTTACCGCACCGTCAAAATACGTCCGTGTGCACCGGCTGTATCAGCACACTTGCTTCCTGGAACTTCTGATTTAGGTTCAGTCTCGGTGGGTAGGTATCGCCCCAAATGAGACGTCATTGGAACGTCCCATTGGGTCATTCCTGAAACCTTCTTATCAGTTTGTTCCGCACGGGTATTATGTAAAAAACCTATGAAATGTCAAAAATAAACCTATATTATGTCATCTTGCAGACTAGGTAGTTTTTAGGGTGCAAACAGTCATTTCACGTTTGCTCACTAGTTTTGTGTGTGCCCGGTAGTCTGTAGTTTCATCTCTGAGAAGAAAGTTGGCTGAATAGCAAGATCGCATCTGGATGATTATGTGTGTTGGTCGGCATGTGTATAAAATCAGTGATATTTGCTGTGTGAGAAAATCATTACTGATAATGCTGCCAATGAAGTATATCTATTAGCTGTGCCCGACGGGTTATTTATGTTGTCCTTCCTGAAGACAGTTATAAACTACGACTTTTTACGTTGTGTGTAATTACTGTTAGCATGTATATGGCTTGTAATTCGACAGTATGCAGTGAATATGATTATTTATTATCTTTCTCATGTTTGAAATTCAGCAAATTTGCATATGTAATTTCCAGAATGGATAAGAAAAAGTAAATGCGCAACTAATTTCTAGCTTTGAATCTCAAGTTAGTGTATTAGAGACAAGAATGCCATAGAATTATCATCAACACATATTACTAGCACCCAAATCCTCACTATGCACCTAGGCATTCCTGTTTCCTAGCAATAGTATACAACTTACAGCCTAGACTTCCAGTAATGCCATCTCTGAAGCAGATTTTACATCACATCAGCGCCAAACATTGATAACTGAAGCCTCATGACGTTTAGGCGACACGTACAACTACAAAACGAGTTCACAACGTGTCCGTCAGCTACTGCTAAGTTAACATCTTGTAGCAAAACCTACATAATGTCAGAAATAACCAATACAATCGACATAATGTCACTTTTCAAGATACGTAATACTAGTGCTGGAGACGTCCTTAGCGCTGCATTTTTGGGCTTTATTCGCTCATCGTTGCCAGAATTACTATTTTAAAAGTTATTTCCAGGGAATTGGATGCGAGTACATTTGCAATATCGATCGATATGATTAAAACTGTATTTATTGTTCTATATAACTGTTATGTTAATTTCACGTTTGTATAGTCTGGTTCATATTTTGCTGCAAAACTGCCTATTATGTGATTTTCGTTTTTCGCCTCTACGGACATCAAAAAATAGATCCTATAATAAAAAAAACAGATTCATTTATATCACCGCAGAACGGGTCACTGTTTCTTTTCAATATTACAGTGGTATAATTTACCATTGTTTTTTTTTTGTGAAACTTAAAATGTACATTTACGTCTTTCTGATCGTAGGTTCAATAGAGCTCAACTCCAAACTAATCGTTGCCATTTCTCATAAGTAATTTTTGATAATGCGCACTTAGTATGATTTGAATTTCGTCTAGCAAGGAAATTCCAATTCTTGATTTGGCAATTAAGCGAAATATTTTCACAGCAAATACTGATCATGTAACATTCGCCTAGGAGCAAATATATTTTTTCGAAATTAACACCTTGAAAGGTAGGAAAATGGAGGCTGGTAGGATTCTCTTTCACTCCGTGGCAGACGACCTTGACGTATTGCCCTACATTCTTGTCAACCAACTGTCGATCGAGTGTCAATCACAAGTATGGTATAGTTGTAGTCACCGTTCTTGGCGGGTCAAAGTAAGACTACCAGTATCCCTTTATATATCTCCATCTCTCTCATACATACACATGTAACCTACCCCGGTGTGTGAACGTTTGTTCGGTAAGCTCAAAGACATACGTTTTTTAGTTGTGACTCCGTCTCAAAAACTTTGCCGTTACGTGTGAAAGCCCTTCAATCATATTTGTCAGAGTGACAAGTTACTTGACATCGGCGTGCAATTTGAGATGTCCTGTTATCAATCTTCAATATAAAATTCCACAATGCCCGGAAATACGATCAATAGAGAAGATCAACAACTCGTGCTAAATTTATTAGAGTATTTCCAAGAAGAGAATGAAAACAACGGTCCCCTGTTACACATTTCATGCGTACGGGAGAGAGTAGCAGATGCGCTGAAGATTAGTCTGCGCCCATAGTACGGAGACTCGATCTGTTTACTTATTTCATATGGCGTTGATGACGTAACAGCCAACATATGGCGTTGATGACGTAACAGCCAAGAATGGTGACTACAACTACGAGCCCCTTCTCACTTCAGTTGGCCCACTTCAAGATTTGTGCCAAAATATGCCTTTATAAACTAAACATGACGAAACTATTTACTTCTAAAACAATTTTTTTTGCTCAAAAACATTTTAGATACTCTGTTCGTAAAAAATAGATATTTGAAATCACTTAGACCTATAACTAATAGAACATCTGAACAAATAAACAATGTGCGAATATATACGCGAAGTTATCAAAGCAACAATTGAAAAATTACCATTGGGTAACATCACCTTTATTTTTTATTACGGCTGAAATTCTTTGGGGCATAGGGTTAACCAAGTTTTGGCAAAAATTTGGTGTAAAATAATCCCATATTTCTTGAAACTTTTGTCTCAGTTCGGTGATTGTACGAGCAGGATATTGTCGTAGAACCTTTTTCATCTCGTGCCACAAGGTTTCAATAGGTGACAGATCTGGACTGCTAGCTAACCCATTTCAAAAGTGGTACATTATTTTCTTCCATCCATTTTATAGCCTTTTTTGAGGTATGGCACGCTGCACCATCTTGCTGAAACACAAAATGTTGACCGGATGTCAAACATGCTTCTATCACTGGTAAAAGCGATTCTTCTAAAATTGCCAAATATTTGTTTGTATCCACATTTCCATCAATAAAATGAATTTTTCCTACTCCTTTTGATGTAATGCTGGAAATTTTACTTTTCTATTCAAACAGTCAACATGGAATGCTTCATTTTTTTTGCGAATAACTCTACTGCGACTGTCACCAACACAAACTTCGAATCGGGCCTCATCACTCCATTGTATTGCACACCACTGTTGACGGGTCCATTGTCTATGTTCTTTAGCCCATCTAAGCCGATTTTTCTTTTGCAGAGGAGTTGATAGTGGCTTTTCTTTGGCCTATAAATAAGTTGTGCAACTTTAGGGTTTTTACTTCACTTTTTTGTAAGAAAACTTACTTTGCAAGTGCTAAACCGAAGTTTGTGGGCCTCTCTTTGAGTAGTGAACCTCGAAATTCTCCTTCCAACAGCGTCACTCCACAGAGCACTTAATTGTAAATAATTGGCACGCCTGTTTTTCCCGATTATTCTTCTTAATGCTCTTCGGTCGGCATTTGTGATATTACTTTTTTTCACATATCGTGGCTTAATATTAACTGAACCAGTTACGTTATATCTTCTAACAATATTGCTCACATTGTACCGCGATAAGTCTAACAAAGTTACAATTTCTGAGTTTGATTTCCCAGAATTAAGAAAATTAATTATCATTAACCGAATTTTCTCACTAATAACCTTTCCTCTACCCAGTTTGAAAACCTTAACTACCCAAAACTATTTTAAACGTATTCTGACAGCTGTGATTAATAAAAAAAATTGTCATGGCTTTTATTTTGCACAGCCACCTATGCGTTATAGACTTATTTTGCATTGAGATGGGTTGATATGCTGTAATTGCAACATATGATATTTTTATGCTGCAAATTTGATTATGGAGTGATAAAGTTGGTGTTTTCTACTATATATTCTCAAGTCGTTGTTTAAAAAAAAAACACTTTTTTCAAGTCTTCAGATCACTTTAAATCGACTGAATATATATGCTCAATATTAAAAATTGGAAATTCTAGTAGAAAAGGAAATAGACAGTCGTAACTAATTCCTTTAATATACATATAGAGGATTTGCTTACCTTGTTTCGAGAGGCCTTGCAAAAGGGATAAACCTTCGGTGACGAACTGGCTTCGTGATAAGGAAATCGGTAGTGTTTGTAGAGAGCTCATTTTCTAGAATTGGTTTGAGAGATGTCTGGATCACAGCTGTGTACTCGACTGAAAATTAAAAAAGAAGTCTCGTTGGAGAAATGCCGTGCTCATCATGTGCATTTTAGGTAATAAACTACAACCGGCGCATACGTGATTACTAATCGCACAATTTTTTTCAGTCGGTAATTCTTCCTGAAGTTGTTTTTGTAGTGCTCAATCAGCTAACTCTATTTTCAATCACGTTCGTTTAGCATTTGAAGCTCAAGGCGATTTTTATTGGGTTATTCAAAAGTATGGAATCGATCAAAGATCTTGTGGTGCAGTATCCATAAAATTTTTTAACTAGAGAATATCGATCATGCCGACAGAGTTATTACGTAAGAAACCTACATAATGTCAATAAAACCAATAAAATGTCAACATTTTGACTAAGTATGCTAGTGTGCAAATTGTGTGAAAAGGTTCATTCCGCGCTTGCTACAAGTGAGCATTAAGTGAGCGTGAGCTAGTTCCAAGTTGGCGTCTTGTTCGAAAACCATATGTCTTAAAAAACCTACATAATGTCAATAGAAAACCGATTAGAAAGCAGTAACTTCTTTCTAAAAAAACATGGTAAATTTTTATTGGCATATATCCTTTTAGTACCCCTTAGAATAACTCTCAAATGCAAAAACTCTATCCAGCTTGCTTATGAAGGTGCATTGTTTGGAGGGGTGCTGGCAAATAACTGACAACAAACGAAATAGGTTTTGTGAACTTCTGCTCTAGATGATAATACCTAAATTATACAAATTATCTTTTTTAACGTCGCACAAAATACCACTCAACTGAATGACGCAAAACACGTACTTGAATAATATTTCCACCTAATGTTAAGTGCTTGATGAATGGGCGATGTCATGTAACTAAATCAATGATTGATGTGAAAGCTTATTGTATTATACGGGGTGTTTCAGAAAAACATAACGATACTTTAGAAGATTCATATAAACATGAGTAGTAGAATGCCTTCTTACTACGCGATAGAGGGTGTAAGTATTATTTTGAAATCGAAAATTAATTATCTTTCAGGTGGATTGAGATTTTGAAACATTGTACATATAGTACTGACGCAGCCAATACATACAAAAATATCAATGCCTGAAACCCCGCTTGAGGCTTCACTATTGGCGAATAAATTGGGAAATTTTGACCCTTGCAGAAAAAAAAATAATATTATTTTCTATGCTACTGACTTTCTTGAAATACCTATTACACTCTCGTAAATACGGTATTCAGTTTTGCATGGTTGGTATAAATGTATAAAAAACTTCCACACATTATATTTTGAAAATACGCTGAAGTTAGTGGAGTTTGACATTGAAAACCTTATGTGCGTTATTTGAACAAAATTCATATTTTGTCTTTAAAAGTTACATCAGTGGTGTAGAAAAATACCCTGTATCTGGGTAGTGGGGCAGTTTAGGAACTATGTTTATGAGAACTTTTTTGTTGCTTTTTGGGTGAACCTTCTATCCTAAAAATATTGCTGATTTTGCTGAAACACTCTATTTTTAGTATGCAGATTATTACATAAATATTTCTAAGCTTTGATGAACATTTTCTGAATGGGTATGTTCCACTATTATATACTTGAGAAAGTAATATATATATATATATATATATATATATATATATATATATATATATATAGGTGAAAAATTAAAGCTTCCGCCTTTTATTGGGTACTTCGACAAAATTTAAGCAAAGAGGACTCTTTATACTTTTTTTAATTCTTTCTAGCTTTCAATGGACTTTGCCATCATCATCAGGAGAGTAGTATGTGAAGATGTTGCTAATTGTTGTTTACGTATAGGATGAGGGAAACGCCCAGTAACATGGTGAAAGCTGGATAGATGGTACAATGGTCAAAATTATATAAAATATGACAAGAAAAAGTTAAAACAGATTAAATTTTTTAAAAGCATGAAAGCATTACATCGTGAAGACACAAGTGACCATTGTACCATCTATCCAGCTTTCACCATGTTACTGGGCGTTTCCCTCATCCTATACGTAAACAACAATTAGCAACATCCTCACATACTACTCTCCTGATGATGATGGCAAAGTCCATTGAAAGCTAGAGAGAATTAAAAAAAGTATAAAGAGTCCTCTTTGCTTAAATTTTGTCGAAGTATCCAACAAAAGGCGGAAGCTTTAATTTTTCACCTAACTGGTCTAGACGACAATGACCACGTCTCAAGTTATATATATATATATATATATACGTATATATAAAGTAGAAAAATAATGGGCAAAATCTGCAAAAAAGAGGAAAGTGGATTCGAGCAGAAAATAGGATAGGTAACCCGAGTGATACTTATTTCTGCTGGTTGGCTTCATCAGGCCGGAAATGAATGCACATATGAAACTGCAAATGTAGATACACATGCCCACACATCCGGATACGGGTGTAACCTGAGGAAACGGAGATGGAGAGATAAAAAAACGACACACGAAGTCTACAACAAGAGCCAACCTACACATTGTAGTATAAAATGGCTAGAAAACCTCGAATTTTCAAGGAGACATCTAACCACAACCACGCGGCCGGTTATAGCCACTTGCTGTGGTACTTCAAGCCTAAAGGATCTACAAAGAGATAATGACCATGCGGAGAAAGGTATATAACAAAAAGTAGAAAAATAATGGGCAAAATCCGCAAAAAAGAGAAAAGTGGATTCGAGCAGAAAATATGATAGGTAACCCAAGCGATACGTATTTCTGCTCGAATCCACTCTCCTCTTTTTTGCTGATTTTGCCCATTATTTTTCTACTCTTTGTTATATACCTTTCTCCGCATCATTATCTATATATATAATCTATAACCTTATATACCCATAGGTGTAAGGTATAACAAATTGTTTACACTGTCTTTTCATTGTTCTGAAAAGTTGTGCACCAATTTTGCCCAAGTCTTTTTGTCCCTGGCATGTCGAACAGCTCCTGCCCAGCTGAGTCATCTGTTCTTCAGTGCCAATGCAATTCCATCATTCCACGTCTTTTTTGGTCTCCCTCTACTTCTTTTCTTCATAATTTTAGCCTCTCATATTCTTTTGACTATTCTAGTTTCTTCCATGTGGATTAGATGCCCAAACCATTTCAACTAGTTTTCCTCAATTTTTTCCAAGATAGATCAAACCCTAACTCACTTCGTATAACTTCGTTCCTAATTTTGTCTCTCCTAGTCACTCCTTTTACTGCTTTAAAGTATTTCATTATTGCTTGTATTTTGCTTCTTTGTCGGTTGTTCAATACCCAGCTTTCGCTTCCAAAAGTCAGGATAGGTCTGAAAATGGTTTTATATACCTTCATTTTGGTCTTTCTGCTTATTTCTTTTTTCGATATGAACAACGTGTTTATGCTATGATACAGGTTCGATGATTTTAGTAATCTTTCTTTTATTTCTTCATCCATTGTTCCGTCTTCCTGTATGTGTATTCCCAAGTATTTGAAAGCCTGCACTTGATCTATATATCTTCCTACCAAGATTATATTAAGTTCTTTCCGTTGTCTAGTAGTCAGGACCTTTGGTTTAGAAATGTTAATATTCATATTTCTCTTTAATAGCTCTGCACTCCAGATGTTAAGGTTATCTTGTAAATATTTTGGGTTGCTGGTACATAATAGCAAATCATCCGCAAATTCACACTCTGCTATACTTACAGTTCTCATTTTATAGAACCCTACATGAACTTTTCTTGTTTTACTCTTTAGGGAATTGATTACATCTGCCATGACTATGATAAATAGTGTAGGGCTAAGCACGCTCCTTGCTTCAGTCCGCCTGCTTATTTTGAATTTTGCGGAGATCATATTATCCTTTCGCACGAAACAACTGATTTGTTCATGCACGCTTTGAATACAATCTATTAGGTGGCTATCAATGTTTCTTTTGTGCAGGCTTTCCCAAACAACGCTCCTTGGCACGCTATCGAATGCTTTTTCGAGATCTAAAAACGCAAAATATAGTTCGGTGTTCTTCACCCTGCTTTTCCCAATGAGCTGTTTAATTGTAAATATGTGGTCCTGAATACTATGATCCTTTCTAAAACCACTTTGCGCCTCGTCTAGATTTTCTTCAAAATACTCTCTCAGCTTTCTGTCTAGCATTCTTTCATATACTTTACATGGAAAGCTCAATAGTGTGATACCCCTGTAATTGTTGCAGTCTGTGGTGTCACCTTTCTTAAATATTGGGATTATTATTCCCTTCCTCCAGTCATCAGGTACCTGTTTTTCTTCCCATGCCTTATTCAGTAATTTTTAGAACATTTCCATACATTCAGCATTCACATTTTGTAACATCTCCGCTGTAATTCCATCATGCCTGGCTGATTTTCCCCTTTTCAGCATGTTAACACTTTTTTTAACCTCTTCAATATCTATTTTACTATGCTCTTTTCTACTTCCTAAAGTTTCCTGTATGTGTATAAGACTTCCGTTGTTGATACTGTTGGACCCGACCATGTTCAGTAGCTCCTGGAAGTGTTCTTTCTATCTTTCGATAATTTTTTGTCCCTCTGAAATTAGCTCACTATTTTTGTTTTTTATGTGCTTCAGGCTGTACAGTCTAGGGTTTCTTAGGTTTTTTAGTACCCGATGAAAGAGTTTTTGGTTGCCTTTACTATCTTGCTCCATCTAATTCCCAAATTCCTCCCATGACCGCTTTTTGCTGCAATCACCATTTCTTTTGTCTTTATTCGTGCTTTTTTATATTCCTCATAATTTTTCTCCGTTCTATTCCCCAGGTATTCCATCTATCCTTCATAATCTTTACTTGTCTCTTCATCTTTTCATCCCACCAGCTAGTTTGTCTTTTACTTTTGTTTATAAACTTCACTCCACATGTACTTTCAGCAGCTGATATAATGATATCTTTAAATAGGCCCCACAGATGATGTACATCCAGCTGTCTCCAGTCATCTTGTACCTGTCTAAGTTCTGTGTCGATTGCTTCTCGATATTTGTCTGCTACTCCTTTGTTCAGCAGCCTATATGTTTTAATTTTCCTTGTGTACCTTGAGTCTCGGTC